AAATTGTACACTTAAAATCTGTATATTTCATTGCATATAAATTTTACCCTCAAAATATATGAGGTATATCCTTATAGCCTTTTATACTTTTAAGAAAGATAAAAGCAGCCCCTGACATCAAGGACCTTGTTTGACAGTCAAAGCCAGGACACTGTGCTCTTCTGTTGAACACAATAATTGCACAAACATTGACATCAAACAAAGTCACTCTGTGACCATCATGGGTAAAGACAAAAACAAGATCAATCCATAATGATATCTAAACATCCATTCAAAATCATGAACACTGTCCAAATCAATAAAATGGCCAAACATCCCCAAACCTTGCTAATTAATATTAATTAATTAAGACTAATGTGCCTGTTGCTTATTTACCAATTACAGATTTAGCCTTCATCCATTCCTCCTGCCTTATAGATGAGATTTATTAAGATGTCCAATCATAGAAGAGCCCCTGCTTTCTCACAGTATCTTACCAACAGGGCAAAAGCTTCCTTCCTTGAACTTTCCCCAAAATCATATAACATAAGCCCAAATCCTATGAATAGGTCCTTTTTACTGAGAAGTAATGGTGTGTGTTCTTTCTCATAACAATCAGCACTAACTCAACTTGTTCAACTATAGGCGTGTTCTTAGTGGCCTTTGGCTGAAGGCCATTGACACCCTGTACATGAACATATTCTGTTTTATAATTCTTTTCATTTAATATATCTTGAATATGGCTTTCCATGTCTTCATACATTCTACATTATATTTTTATGGGTGTATAATTTTCTATTATTGGAATATGCTAGAATTTCTTTAACTAAACCAATATTTTTTGGAAATCTAGTTTTTTCCTAATGTTTCACTATTTTAAGCAGCCCTAATGAGCACTGCTGTGGTTAAATCTTTAAGGGCCTCCGTGATTACTTCACCAGGAGAAATTCTTTTAAATAAAATTACTGGAATTATTGGCTTAAGGGATATGAAACATAATACTAAATTACACTCCTGTCTGAATATAAAATCTTAGAATATATTGTAAGACAGCATTTCAACCTGCTTCAAACAGGCTTTCACTCCCAACAACTCTCTGTATAGATCTTACCGACTCTGCATCATGTCAACTCTAATGGGGTCCTTCCTTTGTCTTCAACAAACTAGACTTCTCAGAAGCATTTGACACAGATAACGCCCTCTACTTGTTGAAATATGTCCCTATCTAGATTCCAGGACACTATATTCACTTGGTTTTCTTCCCCCGTCATTGGCTTCTCCTTCTCAGTCTCCTTTGTTGGTTCCTCTTCCTCTGCCAGACTCTTCAGTAAGGAAAGTGGCCCAGTCCTTCCGCTTCTCCATCAAACTCTCTCACCAGGTGATCTAATCTACACAGGTGACTTTACATGCCTTTTCCATATTTATGACTTTCACAATTACATATCTTGCCTGAACTTCTCCCCTGAGCACCACGTTCAATCTGTTAGTGAGTCCTGTTGACTCTACCACCAAGAATATATCCCGATTCTAACCATTTCCCATCAACCTTGCAGTGACAACCCTAGGCCAAGCCACTGTAATCTCTCCTGAGGAGTACTGCACTGGCTTCTGTGGTTGACAGTCTCACCAGATCATATCCAATAACGAAAAACACAATTTCACAAAAGGAAATCAAAGTGCTGTAGTCAAAAGACGTGGAATGGGATGACAGCTGCCCAAAGGCAACAGGTGACCTCTGAGCTGGCTTTTACCTATTTTTTTTTTTTAATTTTACCAATTTTGTAGGTAAAATTTAAATGTTTACCTTGGAACATCCAGCATTCCTATAATGTGCTATATTACAAACTTTTCAGACATAATTTTTCAAAGGATAGAAATGCAATGAGAATTAAAATGTAATATATGTATGTGTAAAATCCTTTTAAAATAAATTAGTGATGATGGAAAACAGTGGTGAATATTTTTTATCACATTGGAGAGTAGAAGGGTTTTCTAAGGAAGATGTATATACGGAAACTCTTAAATACTAAGAATAGTAAAATAATTGCAGCAGGTACGAAAGAGTGCGACAATTCCTATTATATAAGAGCTATTAATGATCAAGAAATTAGCCCTGGTGGTCCAGCGGTTAAGTACAGCACTCTCCCCACCAGGGCCTGGGTTCATTTCCCAGTCAGGGAACCACACCACCGGCTGTGGACTGTCATACTGTGGCAGCTGCGTGTTGCTGTGATGCTGACAGCTATGCCACCGGCATTTCAAATTCCAGCAGGAGGGCCGGCCCTGTGGCTTGGTGGTTAAGTGCGCGCGCTGCGATGCTGGCGGCCCGGGTTTGGATCCCGGGTGCGCATCGAGGCACCACTTCTCCGTTCATCCTGAGGCCGAGTCCCACATGCAGCAACTAGAAGGATGTGCAGCTACGACACACAACTATCCACTGGGGCTTTGGGGGGAAAAAATAAAATAAATAAAATCTTAAAAAAAAAAATTCCAGCAGGGTCTCCCATGGTGGACAGGTTTCAGCAGAGTTTTCAGACTAAGACAGACTAGGAAGAAGGACCTGGCCACCCACTTCTGAAAAAATTGGTCATGAAAACCCTATGAATAGCAGCAGAGCATTGTCTGATACAGTGCCTGGAAGGTGAGAGGATGGCGCGAAAACAGACGGTGCAGGGTTCCCCTCTGTTGTACACAGGGTTGCTAGGAGTCGCAATCCACTCCACCGCACTAACAACAAAATGATCAAAAAACAAATAGTTAATCATCATTTATTATTAATGACCCAGAAACAAAGAGACGATTATCTCCTTTAAAGATGCCCAAACTCCCTCAAAAGTAAATAAACAGAAATTGAGATAAAAATGAAGTTTTATTTTCTTTACGTATCAGATTGGTGAAATTAAAATAATTTATACCAGAACTGACAGGATGTGGGGAAATTGGTACTTACATAGATCATTAGTAGCAACATAAATTGGGACTTAGAGTACTTTGGCAACATCTATTCAAGTGTAAAGAGCATACATACATTTTAACAACTCCACGATCCTGCATAAATATTTCCACAAAAGCCCAAAGACATCCATGTATGTGTGTGCATTTGTGAGTGTGTGGCATATCTCTATACAATCACTACAAATAATAATTTCAATAACATGACATAGAAAGATGTCTAAAATATATTGGAAAGTGGAAAAAGAAGCTTGCAACACAGAATGCATTTTCCTACATTTTTACTAACATACATTCAAACATATTAGTGTAAGCATAAACAAATCTGTACAAATATATAAGGAACTCAACTATAGTTTCCCCTCTTGGTGGTATCATAGAAAGCATTTTCCTAGAACATCTGAGTGAAATGTCCAAACATAAGAAATAGTAACAATAAAGAACACGACCTTCTTGGTACTGGGACAAATGAAGCTTTTATACACTAAAATAAAGTCCAATAAAACTTCTTTAGAATTCAATGCCCTGTAGATTTGCAACATTAAATAGAGTCTTCCTGTTTGGAAGGAATTGGTAATTAATGACATGGATATCTCAGCAAAAAATTTTTAGTGGTACAGAGAAAAAGATAAGCCTGGTCTCAGAATGCTGGAAGAGAAAGCTTACCTTGCCCTTTTGCCTTCCCAACTGTCCCCGCAAGTTCCACATTCTCACCCCCATTTACCATCAATGATCCAGAATGCCTTAGTCAGCTTGCTTTCTCACTCCTGCTCTGCATGTAAAACGGGAGTAGAACAAATAACCTTCTTATCTACCACCTTTCTTTAAAGGCATACCTAGCAGAACATCTTAACTGGCTTTGGCTGACACTGCTGATAGACAAGAAGCTGGAACCTACACAGAATCAAATAACACTGAAGTTAAGGTCTCCTAAATCCTCATCTTGGGCTCTAAAGCAAGAGCATAGCCATTGGAAAAGGCAACCTGGGAGAGGGCATGGCACATTCCAGGAAGATCACTGAAAACTAACATGGGAAAAAAAGCAAAAGCTCCCTTCTAGAATATTCATCCACGGGCATTCTAGAAATGTCTATAGGTATTTGAATGCAGTACAATGGTGCCATTTTCCCAAAACTATTAAGACATAACCTATATCACAAACACCTCTATACATATATAAACATATATATGTGTGTGTATATATACTTACACACACGTGTGTGTGCATGTGAGTGTATGTGAGATCTCATCACAGAATAGCAATTACCACTCAATAAAACTTACCTGCTTGTTTTTCAAAAGCTCTGAAGAGCCTGGTAATATGAAAAAATGACCCCACAAGAAAGGGAAAATAGAGTGATTTCAAAGTAAATGCTTTTATTTTGAACTTTTCTGTTTCTACTTCCACAGTTCAAATCAGACAAAGAAGTGACACACTTCTGGGTTTTGTTGTTATTGATTTTTTTGTTTTGTTCTAATAAAAATAATAGAGCAAATGCATAAATCACACTGTAAACTTATTTAGTATTCACAAAAATCCCATGAGATACTATTATTTTGTTTTTCCAGATAAGGTACAGTGAGGTAAACTGAGGCACAGAGAGGCACCCAGAGTTATTGTTCATACTATACATTGGCATTTTCCTGAAAAATCTCACTTTTAACTGAACGAAATGTAAGAAAATTCCCCTCTCAAAATGCTCTATGAATTCTAGGCCATAAAGCATCAACGCACTGTAGCAAGGCACCAAAATGTGTCTGCTTGGAAGCCACGCGCGATGCATAATATGTAAGGCAAACCTAGGGCTTAGTACAACCTACTCTGGAGCAGCAAACCAAATTCGGTCCCAATGCTTGAATATGTGTGCGTGTGTATGGGAAAGAGGCAGAAGCCTTTGTCATTACACACGATCCCAAAAGACGCCGGTGCCCCGCAGCAAGTTTTGACTATGCGCCCGAACCTACGGAGGGACTCCCTCGGCCATCTGGGTCGCGCGCGGTCTGCGGGGCCAGGGCGCATGCGTGGCCCGGGCCGCTGCGCCTCGCGGGGAGGCCGCCGGGGCGCTTACCTGGTCCGCTGGGCGCGCAGACACAGGACCAGGAGCAGCAGGGCCGCGGCGAGGGCCAGGCCCGGGAGGCTGAGGAGCTGCAGCAGGCACGGCTCCGGCGAGAAGCGGCCCATGCCCGCGGACACGTCTTCTGCCGTCCGCTTCGCGCGCGGCCGCGATGGGCAGCCCGGGGTCTCTCTCTCGGCGGCTTCTCTCGGCTGCGCTCCCTCCGTCAGGGCCCCAGTGGCCGGCTGCCCGCGGCGCTGCCCGGAATGTCACCGCGGGCCCCGGAGGCCGAGTCTCAAAGTTCCTGGACACCCCTCCCCCGGCCCAGCCCCCACCCCCGCGCACCGCCCCGCGCCGCGACCGCCTCCGGCCGGGCTGCTTCTGGAAAGCGGCGCCCTGGCTGCTCCGGGCAGGAAGAAGGGCCAGAGGAGGGGGGGAAGGGGTTAGGCTTTCCCGAGAACGAGGCTCTGGAGGCCTGCAGGAGGGGGGTTTCTGTTCTGAGTTGGGAGTGAGTCGCTTGGGTTCCTCATCCCTTCGCCCGCGCCCCTCGGGAGGAGGGACCCCGCTTGCCCCTGAGCAGGGTTGGGGTGTGCCCGCTGCGCTCTGGCCCGGTGCTCCCTGAGGCACGACCCAGAGAGCCGGCGGGCGGCGGCTACCTGTGGAGTGCAGTGCCCCCAGCCTGTTCCGCGCCCGCCTCTCTCACCCTGCGCGTGCACTTTGCTCACGCGCTTTTGTTGAGAGCCTGCTGTATGCACAGGGTCGTCCCAGAGGCCCGGAATACAGAGACCAGGGTCGTGACACTTCAGAAGTCCTGATGAGACTCGCAGCCCAGGAAGAGGGAAGACAGATGGAGCAAGCTATTGCAGAACAACGCTAGAAGTGGTACAAGTCCCACAGGTTGTCCTTAGAAAGAATAAGAGAGAAACTTTTAAAATACCTTTTCCTGAGGAATGACGGTTCACCAGGGACTTCACACGTTTATTTACTCTCCACATCAAACTTATCGTTTTTAGCAGTATTTTAGAGAACATATAATGAGACTCAGGTTAAGTAACTTACCTGGTTGTCAGTTGATAAATAACTAATAACCGTTCTAACCAAGGCTGTTCCAAGACCACTGTATTCTTTCCTTTATGCGAGAGTTGATTTCCACTGTCCTCTGGACTATTACAACAGCTTCAGAACTCTCTGACCCTTAACCTTTCCAGCCCATCCTCCACTTTGCCACCTCCCAACACAAATCTATCCTGCATTTACCCTGTTCAAAGCTCTTAATGGTTGCCTTTGTGATAAAGTTATAGATCTTCCACCTGCCATAAGAAGCTCTCCTCAATTTGTCTACATCATACAACTCCCATGGCTAGTACAGTTCTGTATACACTATAGCTTGAGCCAGTGCATCCCTCCCAGTCAGTCCTTTCACACCTTTGTTTAATGATATTCCCTCGGCCTGAAAATTTTACTCTCTCCTCTAAACACTGAAATTCTACCTACCTCTCAAGGCCCAGGTCAAATCCTACTTCCTTCTAGAAATTATCCCTACCTCGTTTTTTGTGATCTCTCATTCCTCCACACTTTCAGTACTCTCTCTGTTTTTCACCCCATCACATTTTTCCACTGTATCTGAGTTATTTTTCTCTGAGTCTGTCTTTCCTGCTATAGAAGGCGGGAACCATATCTTAGACAACCTTGTCTGCGCCCACTCTCTACCCCTCATCCCCCTGACCCCCAACCTGCAGTTGAGATAATATAGCTGAAAGTACTTTCCGTGTGCCTGGCTCAGTCAGTGCTCCATAACTGAATTACTACTGCATTGCTGTCCGTGGCCTTAAAACTGGGAATGGCTGAGCTAGCATTAGAACCCTAATGTTTATGAATATCTTCATCTTTGACTTTTATTCTAGGATCTTTCTACTGCCTCTCCTTCCTCCCGTTGTAGATTCAATTTTCCAGAAGATCCAAAAGGGTACGCTGAGCCCACAGCTCCTCTGTCTCCTTCAAGGGAAAGCAAATTGGTTTCCATCACTGCCTGGCCAGCAGAGCCAGTTTACAGGATGGTTTCCGTGGCCTGCATTTCTGTAATCACTGCAGAAAGTCCCTCTCACTAATTTTCACAAGAAGCCTCAACTTTTATACTTTTATTTTCTATTTGATCTCCTGGATGACTCTTCTGTTTGAAAATATAGGTAAAAATATTAAACATTAATCAATTTATTGAACATTTCCTATGTACCTGGCACCATGCTAAACAGTTTACTTCATGATGTGAATAACGGCAAACATCTGCAGTTAATCACACTTAAGAAAGTGGAAGGAGGAAGACTGCTATTACCTACTAGATTTGGTTGGCAGCTGTGTCATATTCTAATGCTGTCTGTGTGGTACCTTACATAGAACACTTTATGGTATACACTTAATAAGTTTTGAACTTATGTTTCTCTTGTGTTTTCCATTTCTGTTAAAAGGGACCTCCATTCTGTAAACTGACCTGGTTGAAATAAAAATCTAAAGACATCTTTTATTCCTCTTTTGCTTTTGTAACCCAATATCAGCCTTATTATATTCAATCCAGTTCAGTTTATTTTACCTCCAAAACATGCCTTTATCCCTATCACTTCTCTGACAGAGATGACTAGTTGACTGTCCATATCTACTTCCTGCTTCCTCCTCTGTAAACAGTCCTCAATTTTTAACAGAGCATGTGGCTGTCCATTATAAAGACTGCTTTTCCAGCCTTCCTTGTAGTTAGACGTGACCATATGACTAAATTCTCACCAGTAGGCTGAGTATAAGGTACTGCTTCAGGAAAGTGCCCTTAACAGGAATGGACAGGCCCTTTGCCTCTTTCCCCTTTTCTGCTGGTTAGAATGTGGATACCATGCTTGGAACTTAAGCAGCCATCTTAGCACATATAAGTATGTCTCAAATATTGCATTCAATATTATTTGCTGTTTATATGACATTCTAATTTAACTGAGGATTCTATATTTTTATTTGCTGAATCTGGCAACTCTAGCTTAATTCCAATACAAGAGTTCATAAGACATACAGGTAAGGCAACTGTAAAATTTTAGCTGCCCAACAGTCCCCTTTAGAAACAAGCCACAAATTGTTCCTTCAACATCGGTTACCACTGTTAGTGTGTTGAGTACCTTGGCCACACTAATTAAACCGGGGTCAACAGTCATATCCAAAAGAGTTATGGGTGGCCCTTAGACTTTGAAGTATCCAGATGGGGAAGTATGTTCAGCATAGGTAGCAACTGCCCTAATCATTTTTCTTCAGAAAATATTGATTGTGCGACAAATGGACAGAGAGAAATACAAGCAAAAACAGAAGTGAAAGCAGAGGCAGTAAAGGGAGAGGGTAATACGTTGGAGTCTCTAAGTAAGAGCCATGAAAATCCAGTCTCCCCTATCAGCCTAGGTGACCTTCATCCACGAGGTTGTTGGAGCTGTCAGCCTCTTTCTAATCTATGACTAGGGCTTGAATTCTGGCCCTGCTTCCCTCGAGGGCTTCTCTTTTTATTCTAAACAGCCTATTTGGAAGTTACCAAAACTTTGATAATGACTATTTCCCCTGCATTTTTACATCTATGTCCAAATTCTCCTGCCCCGACTTTGAAAAAACTAACACAGTGGATTGAGACCTCCAAGACCACCTACTTGGTCAACAACTTTTGCTAAGGGCATATTACATCCATGGCACTAGACCTGACCTGCTGGAGCTATAAAAATGAATGAGATGGCCCTTCCTTCAAAGAGCTGGGACTAAGAAGACTTTAAAAAGAATTGACTTTTGAAAGGAGAAAGAAAAGAGGCTAGTCAACATGAGATTGTGGAGTAATGATGGGGGGACTTAAGGACGTGCATCCATATGGCTTCAATCTTGTGAGCTCCTGGGAGGCAAATAATGTGCTGGGGAAAAGGTCAATTGTAGGGTTCAGTTGTTGGGAAACATTTGAAAGTACCACTGTGGAACACATCAAAGTGGAATTCCACACATCCTTATTTCCAGTATCGGGAATTTCTTAAAATCAGATTGGAGTACTCAAGCCTGAAAGGTTCTACCAACTTTTGACGTAAAATATAGATTACGTTTTGAGTCATATCTGTAACTAAAAAGAAAGACTGCAGCTCTCTCTCCCCCCTTCCTCATGAGCTTTGTCTCAACTAACTTTGATTTCCTATCCTTTTCTGTTAGAATTAAGACCACCCCTGGGCAAAACTGTGACGCAGAGGAGGAGAAGAAAATGGGAGAAGAAAGGAACATGGACGGAAAGGATCTGCTATGCACCAGGTACTGCTTCATGTTTTACATACATTGTTTCATCTAATCTTCAAAACCCATCTCTGATGTAAGTATTATTGTTCCCTTTTATACGAAAGAAAACCAAGACTCAAAGAGTTTCAGGGTCCCCATGATTATTCAACTCCTACCTTCCACTGTGAAGTCACCCCTTCTTTCACTCTGCCATCTTGCCTGCCTTAGAGATTTCTTTCACCAGCCCTTTACTATATCTGTTCAATCATTCTTGCCTCCATTTTTATGGATCCTGTTTTTACCATGGGCTGCCCATCACCAAGGTAGCCCATGAACACAGTTGGGGCTCTGCTTTGTACCTTGGCCGACCTCAGCCCTTGTCTAGCTCTGAGGCTAATCTCAGGTTTTCCATCTGAAAAATGGTAGAGGACTACCTTGCCTTTAGGTTTATGAGGATGAAATTGTGAGGAGCAAATATACAACAATCAGCATATCTGGAGCTTCTCCCTTTTTTCACTTTTGAACACCTTCTGCTCCACTGGCATAGGGTATAAGGAGAAGTAAGTTTATCAGACAAACTCAGCCCAGCTGAGGTCTTAGCTTGTTGATATATTGCTTCTGCCCGATTAAAATGTACAATGTGCCACTTTGTTGTTTTCTTAAGGCGGCTGTTCTGATTGTAGCTGAGATAGTGATAATAGTATATTCTGAGACCCAAGACTGCTGTGAGCCTGAAAGTTATTGTTTAATTGACACATAGTAAATAGTGAGGCACCTTAGATGCTGGCCCTGGACCCAACTAAAAATATCTTCAGTCACAAATGCTTCCTTTTATTCTGTCTTTCTTTACAATTTAAACAATTGCACTTATTTTCTCTTAGTTTTCCTTTCTCCTAAAAAGCCAGTTTATAGTGTCGACCTAACACTCAGCTTACACATATAGACAAGGCAGGCAAAAATGCTTATTAAAAAAAGTGCTGTTGAATGAACAGAGTGACCCAACAATAGAGAGAGTTGTTACATTTAAATCTTTTTTTTCCCATAAAGTACAATTTTA